AGACTTCCAGGAATAAGTAACCTGGCCCCTGACTCGGGGAAGAACAGGTCTGAAGCCTGTGGTGCTGTGAATCCACCTTTTTGTCCATCTCAGCCCACCTCCGAGAGAAACCTTCACTCACAGGACCCCAAATTCTGCCCTTTCTGCACAAAAACCTTTCTGCTCCATCCCCTGGATCTCAGAAAGCAGCAGGCTGTCCAGAAGACAGGCCCCTGGACATCCCAGCAGGCCTTTACCTGGCGACTCTCCGCGAAGTTGATGAGGAAGATGGGCCTCACAATTCTCGACCATCGGATGCTCCTCACGCCGTACACCCTGAGGACCCCATATATGGCCAAGTCTGTCAGGGATAACTGCAGGAAAAAGAAGGAAAAACCCCAGAGGGAATAATGGAAACGTGTCTGGACGGTGAAGAAAAGAGTGTGTGCTGATACAAGGCGGTAGCACACATGACAGGTTTGTGAGAGCTGCTTGGTTTAGCCATGGATTTCATCAGGTCTGTGATACCAGGAAAGCAACAGGAGGGGAAAAAAAAACACATCAGCATTGGCCACTTGGACCTCAGAGGCTCCCCTGGGCCCAACTCACCAGGATTGCCACCATGATGCAGATGTTCTTGGTGTCCTTCCAGAACACGCTGTGCAGGGTGACCGTGGCAAAGTGTGCCAGGCGCCCGAGGAACACCAGCAGGCACAGCACCTCCAGCACGGATGTGACCTGCAGGGGGACAGGAGGGGCTCAGCCAGCACAACCAGGGGCAGCACTACCCCTTCCTGCACAGATGAGGGTGTTCAGGCACGGAAACAACAAGCAGAGGCCGTATAAAAAGGAGGGGTTTGCTGTCAGCTGTTTTGCACACTCACCCACCTGGCACCGAGCAATAGTTCCAGGCTTCCTTTTGTGGGATTCCCTGCCACAGGCAGGTTAAAGCCAGCAAATTTGGGTTGGCTTAGGATTCAAGGAGCACACCTGTCACAGTCACACTGGTGCAGAACAAATAAAGGCTGCAGAGAAGTCAGGCCTAAGAGCAACATTTGTCTTCCACTTTCACACATGAGGGTGGGACTGAAATCACTGCAAAGGCTGGAATTGTTCTCTGAGATGGAGAACAGCAACATGACTTTGTCCATAGTCATACTGGCCTTTGCTGATGGCCACAATGGCTCCACAGTCCCTGTCCAGCTCCTGTACTCCTTTTTTGTCCCCATTTCAACATATCACAGAATCTCGGAATAGTTTGGGTTGGAAGGTGCTGGGATGTATAAAGTTCATCCAGTGCCACCCCAATGGGCAGGGACACCTTGTACTAGCCCAGGTTGCTCCAAGCCCTGTCCAGCCTGGCCCTGGACACTTCCAGGGATGGGGCAGCCACAGCTTCTCTGGGCAACCTGTGCCAGGGCCCCATCACCCTCACAGCCAAGAATTTCTTCCCAGCATCCAATTTAAACCTGCTCTCTGGCAGTTTGAAGCCATTCCCCCTCACCCTGTCCCTCCAGGCCCTTGTAAGCAGCCTCTCTCCATCCATTCTCTCTTGATACCTCTGAGAACTCCTCTCCAGCAGGAAACCTTTGGTGCCTCCACCCCAAAAACTCACCAGGAAGGGGAGTGGGTACACAGCAGGCTCTTCAAACATGGCCAGGGACAGATTGAGAAAGATGAAAAAGTAGGTGGCTGTTCTCATCATCCAGTGGTTGTAGAGATAATAAAGCCTGGAGAAAGAGGGCAGAGGCACCATAAACAAAGGCTTCAGGGCACATCCCCAGGGGCTCACCAAATGCATCCCAAACAAATATTTTTGCCAGCCAGGATGTTGGCAATTTGCTTCCAATTATGTTATTATACTCCCTTGATATTCCAATTATATTACTATACTCCCTTTCAAGGAAAAGTGATATGATATATAACAAGTATTACATTCTTTAATGTTTATCACGTTATACAAATAGATTATTTGACCTCCCTATAAATATTATTTAATATTATAATATCAAGGTTATAATAACCTGCTTTCAGGTTATTCTTCTAATAACACCATCCAATGCAAAACCTGATCATTTAATCATTCAGCTGTCAGGACCAAATCACATGAAACACTGTTTTCCCAAAGCAGGGAGGCATTACAGCTCCACAGCAGCTCACACCTGTTCAAAACCTTTGGGACAAACACACTGAACCCTCTCGGTCTCCCAGGAAAAGGAGCTGCTCAGCCTCCCACCAGCACCTCAAAGGGGAGTCACCATCACGGGGGAAACTGTTCTTGCCTTGGGGAATTTCACTTATCACAATTAATGCAAGATTTTAATTACTGCTCCCCCAGCAGCTACAGCCCTTTGTGGAGCACACCTGAGCAGTGGTGCCACACCCCCCGGGGGTTACCTGAGCTTCTGGGGTGTGATGGGATGGTGTCGCCCGTTCCACGCCAACAAGTGCCAGGTGTGCCCACCCGGCACAGGCTTCTCCCACACAGGGCAGCTGTGACCCCCCTGCTACCAAACCCTGCCCCTTCCACACAGCTGAGGGCCGGCCGAGCCTCCCAAACTCTCCATCCCCGCAGAGGCTTGGGAGACTTTATGTTGCTTTTATTCGTCCGGCAAGACGCAAGTTTTTAATTCCCTTTCCCACCCTCAACACACAGATGCGGCTGAGCCCCGTTTTAAGCATTTCAGCTCAAAACCAGCTCCTGGCAGCCCACGCACCCACCCTCCCCAGCACCCTGCTGGTGCAGCCGAGCGCCCCACGCTTTTTTGGCAGCTCCCTCGCGATGGGGGGCACACACAGCCCCTCCTTACCTGACCGCCTCGGGGGACGTCTTGAAGGGAATATTCCTGTTGTACTGCGCGTCGGAGACGAACGCTGCCGCCAGCAGCAGGTCCTGCGGGAAGGGGGGGGGAAAAACACGGGAGAGACGGTCAGGGGGTGGGGGGAGCTGGGAGCGAGCTCTGAGAAGTTACCGGAGGGAGGAAGAAGGGGGCGAGAGGAGAGCGAGAAGGGGGCGAACCTGCGCGGGCGGCTCGGCCATGGCGGGGGCAGACGCGGCACCTCCCCGGCCCCGCCGCCTTTAACGGGGCCGGTCCCGCCCCTCCGGGCGCGGCGGAAGCGGGAGGCGGTGCCGGGGGGCCGGGATCGGGATCCCGGGGTCGGTCCGGGGGATGGTGCTGGAGGCGCTGCGGCCGCGGGCCGTGCGCTGGGCGCTGCTCGCCGCCTTCGCGGCCGGCGTGGCCGTGGGCTGGCAGGCGGGACGGCTCCGCCGCCGCTTCCTCCGCTGGAGGCAGCAGTACCTCAAGCGCCGCCTCGCCGCCGCCCAGGAAAAGCTGGACGCGGCCTGAGATCCGGGAAAACGGGAGCCGGGATCCTCCCGGACCCGGCAGCGGCGCCCCGAGTGCCCCACGGGTGGTGGAGACGGCGTGGGAGCGCTCCCGGGGAAGGATAACGCGCGTGGAACGGCGGGGCTGCTGGAAAAGGGCAGAATCCATGGAATAGCAGGGCTGCTGGAAAAGGGCAGAATCCATGGAATAGCAGGGCTGCTGGAAAAGGACAGAATCCATGGAATAGCAGGGCTGTGAAAGGACAGCAACCGTGGAACAGCAGGGCTGCTGGAAAAGGACAGCGTCCATGGAATACCGGGACTGCTGGAAAAGGACAGCGTCCATGGAATACCGGGACTGCTGGAAAAGGACAGCGTCCATGGAATACCGGGGCTGCTGGAAAAGGACAGCGTCCATGGAATAGCAGGGTTTCTCTTCCACCCTTCAGAAGGCAGGATCCCAAACTGTGTCCCTGACAGGCCTAACAAAATACTGAGGATACAAGAGCGATGATACCAGACCTGGAAAGGGCTGCCCAGGGAGGTGGTGGAGTCTCCCCATCCCTGGAGGTGTCCAAGGAACAACTGGATGTGACACTCGGTGCTCTGGGCTGGGTGACAACGTGGGGATCGAGCACAGGTTGGACCCGATGATCCTGGAGGTGTTTTCCAACCCAAATGATTCTGTGATTGCCATATTCCAAAGGTAGTCTGCACTTGTCCAGCTCTAAGCCTGCTGTTCTGCCCTTGCCAGGAATCACTGCTGACACAATAAAGTAGCCAAAATCATGACATGGTGTTCCTGGCTGTGTTTGTTTTTGAAATGAATATGAAAACATGCCTTATGGGCACTTGTAACAACCCTCATTATGGAAGTGCGTGGGGACAATTAGGTGGTGAAACAGCTCCTGTGCTGGCAGGGTGAACCAGCAAATTAATTGTAGGATGTTGGCTTTGGAGGCAGAATTCCTCCTGGCACTTTGGATAAGGAGTTGTGGAGAAGGCTGTAGCATGTTCCCTCTTCCCTTCCCATCCTTAAGGAGTTCCAGGAGAGTATTTGTTCGAGTCTGGGAGGTGCCAGGGGATTCACTGCACATTGCAGGCCGCTGTTTTTCAACTGTATTAATGAAGTTTTAAAAGTTCTGGGGTGGGAGGAAAAGTGCCCCTTGAGGGTTGGCCTTGATGATCTCAGAGCTCTTTCCCAACCTTATCGATCCCGTGATTAAGATCACAAAACGCCTAATAATTTGTAGCCAAATAAATGCTGCCGGGGCTCTTCGGTAGGAAGGTGGTTTTGGAGCTTGGGGAGCTCCCGCAGTGGCAGGGCCGGGGGTGCGGCACTGAGCGCCGGGATGGGATGAATCCCTGAACCGGCTGAGCCCCGGGATCGGGTGAATCCCTGGACCGGCTGAGCCCCGGGATCGGGTGAATCCCTGAACCGGCTGAGCCCCGGGATCGGGTGAATCCCTAGAC